TTATGTCAGTTCAAAATTGCTATGAAACTATTTGTTTTAAATTTGTGTATTTATCTTCTACATGCAGTATGAATAGGAAGCATGTATTTGACTTTGGTTCTTTATTGATGTAGTGGTATTTGCTTACTTATATTCTCATTATTGTTAGTAACACTATTGCACAAGTTGCAGTGTGGAAGTGTTTCTTGCTGAGACAATAAATTTCAATCCACAATATCTAGAAAACGTATTTTGCAACAGCAGACTTTATGGCATGAGGATGAGTTGTTTTATTGGGAAAAAAACCCAGTTTTAGGTCTCCTTCTTGCCCCCTTCCTTAGGAAACACAACCAGAACCACATAGTGTTTAGAGAGAAAAACTGCCAGAATGAGAGGTTTTGTTGAGGCTTATTATAAGGGAAAAAAAAAAGAAGAACAGAGAAATGAACACCTGAAATAATTCTGTCCAAAATAGCAATATGGGCACCACTCTTCATTGGGTCAGCTAAACAAAAGTAAATAATAACTTCTTAATTTCCTTAATGACAATGTGATTATCACCAATTCTTATACAAAGAGGCAAAATAGAGATGAAATTAATTCACGTCTTTAAACTCAGGGTATGTGAACAGGTAAGAAATGAGAGCAATTCCACTTTTTATCACCCAATAATGGCAGGTAATCACCTACCCTAGAAAAGCCTGCTCTGTTCAGGCTCCCCAGATACATCTTCTACATTTTGTAAAGCCTGTGTTACTCAAAGTTGTTAAAATGTTTGGTAAGAATTATTCATTCAGTTTTATTTCAATGAAGCTCGTAGAAATCCATCCATGGCATTTCCAAAGCACTACCCATCTAATCATGGCCTGTGCAGCCGCCTCTCAGCTCTAAATTGCTTGGCAACGTCATGTTGTGTGTATAAATAGATGTCCTGTAAGTTGTGTAAACCTGTAATTATAGAAATAAAAACGCAAAAATCAAGCCTGTGAGCATTCCAGTTGCTGATCATGTCTACCTCTGCACACTGTGGAGCAGGCTTTTATATCTACATGGATCTTCAATTAATATTTCATATTAATTGCGCTAATAATTGAAAACGTGTAATGGAAGTCATGATTATATTGTTACTGAATAGAAGTTGCAAAATGTTTCATTCTTATTCCTGAAATATCTTATTATAAGTAATATCTACTGTGATTTGTCTCTTCAATCTAGTCATACACAAAGAGAAAACTCCTAAAACACACAAAAAAAAATCTGATGTAAATTTTCCTTTTGTTGCAGTAACAAATTCCTATCTGAAGAAAACTCTTACAGGTTTGTGCCAGAAGACAACTGAATAATTTGAAATTCATAGGCAAAATATCTTTCTTTGCTTCATTCACCCTTGAAAAATTAAACAAACAATTCTTGGCATTTTCCAGATAGTAGTTTATTTTGCACTTTCCTAGGATGTTCCTCCTGCAGTGACATCGTTCTGAAAAACCACATGGCCTTTAAATATTGCAACAAACCCAGTGGTCTGATAAGCAGGTGGATTGTAGCGTGTCTATCTCAGTCTATCTCACAGTACTTTCTTGAGACACACAAGACTAACATTGAATTCTTAAATCCCTAAATCCAGACAACCCCATGATATAAGCCTTTATATAAACAGCTCAAAAAGTCCTTTAAAAAGTAGAACTTGTTTACTTTTACTCAAATGGGAAGACTGTGTCTTGTTGCTTTGATCTTTAGGTGTTGTGGGTTTTTTCACTAATTTCCAAAATAAATATAGTTAGAAAAATAATATTAATTTTTTTTTTCGTTTACCTGCATGGTTTTTTTTTAGGTTAGTAGGGGTTTATGTTCATCTTTTTCTGTAGACAATAATCACGTCCTCTTTCAGTCTGAATTTTCCTGCATTTCTCCCATTTTTAGATGAGTTCTTCATCCCTCTGATCCCTCTAATAATTTCTTCTGTACAATTTCCTGTGAAAACTCACCTTTACTCTCAGCCTGTGTTGAAGAGGACATACTACCTGTGTTTCTCTGTTCCACATTGACACTTTCATGGCTGATGTTGAGGTTCATAGTCATCCCATGATCTGCAGACCCTCCTTGAGCTACTGTTCCCAGACCTTTACCACTTTTGTCACTTCCAGCTGATAAGATCCATTTTACAACAGAAATGTATACTGTTGAGCACCATGTGCTTGAACTTGCACTTCACTCCCCAAATCTATGCTGTCATTCCTCAGGGCTGTGCAGTCAGTGTAGCACAGTGATTATTATCAGTATTTGTGATGCCTCTCACCTTTGTGTCATTAGCAAATCTCAGACACATATTATTGTGCTGATGAAGTAAATGGAGGTTAAGGAAAGCCATAGCATAACCAGGTCATCATGGAAACAGTCCTTGGCAAATTAGTTTTCAACATTTCCCCTCATCTGCTACTTTCCCTTAGACACTTCATTTTTGCTATTCTTTGTACTCCTTTTATTTTTCAACTAGCCCCCATTTATAAACTCTCTTGTAGAATCACATCAAATGCTCCATGAAATTCAGATGCAGGTAAGTTGCTGTATTTCTATCACACAGTTAACATAATGAAAATTATTTTGGTTCATCTGGCTGCATACTTTTCTGTACAGTACTGTTGCTTTTTCTTCTATTTGTCATTTACCTTCATGCTTTTAATTATTCTTTCAGAGTAATGGATCAAAGTCAGACTAATAGACCAAGGTCAGAAGTGATTTCCTGAACCTCTGTCCTCACTCATCCCTCTTCCTAAATGCAGGTACTTCAATTGCTGGTTTTGATTTTACAGTGCCACTTTAATGGTTGTGCATCTGTTATAGAAATATAACAGCAGAGTCATGGCCCCCCTGGTCCTCCAGTCCTGCAGAAGGGCAGGAATGGGAACGTTATCCTCTGTCTGCAGCTATTGAGCTCCTCCAACGTTACTTTTTCCACCTTTACTGATCATCTGCTTTGCCATTTGCATGCTGAAAGTCTCAAAGTTAAGAGAATTTCAGTGCAAATTCAGTACAGCTCTGTACAAACGTGATGGAAAATCCACTGATTTCAATAACATCACTCAGGTGTCTGCAGGTTAATGGTGCTTAAGAGCTTTTCTAGGCGGGGGCCTGAGGAAGTCACACATTAGTGCTGCTGAGACTGTGAGCACACCATAAGCTCAGATATTTCTTTTACCTCCAGTTTTTCAGCTTCCTTGAGCAGCCAGCAATAGCCACAGCCACAGCACATGTGCTGGCACCCAAGCAGGCCAAGTCAGGTCTATGACATGAAAATTATTTTTTCATGTTAAAATAAGTAAAACATTTTTATGGAGCTATCCATTCATCTGAGGAATTATCTTTTCCTTTATGCATTCATTGGAAGACGTTTCACTGTTTCCTTAGTGATTTATTTCTGTGAATCTTGTTAGATTAAACATTGTAAGATTTATTCCTTCAATAATATATTCCATGTGGAATTTAATTGTAGAACAGTAGGAAAAGAGCTGGAACAGAATAAAAACATATGGATGTAATTCAATTTTTATACCCATTTCAAGATTTTTTACCTTTGGGGGTAAGTGTGTTTGGGGATGGTGCGTGGAATACAAGCTATAAATTCTATTTGAATGATCAGTAATAAAAATAAATGATCTTATTAAAAAAATTACAATTAAGCAACGAAATGTTGCATGACCATATTAGTATGACAATAGGTGCCATGAGGTATATATATATAGGGGAGTAGAGACAAAACAAAAAACTAATTTTAGTCAAAGAACATTCTCCATTATCCCTAGAAAATTTGGCATTTTTTGGCATAATTTTGGATTTATTTTCTTGCAAATGGAGCTTTGAAATCAAGATGTATTACCATCATAGGTCTTTTCTAACAGCACAGTTGTAAAAATCTGAAGAAATAAGAGGGCATTGTGGTCAGGATTTGCCCATATGGAGATTTTTAAAAATTTTTGAAAAAAAAAAATTTCTTAAAGGTTCATTTTAAAAGTGTGATGAAACCCTTTCATAATGGACAAGGTTCTTCTCTAAGGAGTAGTATATCTCGCAGGGTCTCAATGTCTCAAGAGAGACATTTTGGAATGATGTGCAGAGACCTGAAAATCTCATGGCTTCATGTCTTCCCTCCACATGGCCACTTCAGCACATTTATTTTTTGCTGGGTGAAGCTTACTACAAATAATTCTTGATGCTTTTATTACTGAAGCATTTGGAGTCCTTAGGCATGGTCTAGGTCCCTGGGCTGCTTGGCAATGTACAGAGCAGAGTAAAAAGTTGGACCGCAACATAAAACAGTGCTGTACTATCGATCGACTTGCCAACTACCACCCCAGCAGCCCAAAGACTAATTCCTTGGATTCTCAGCAAAGGAGAGTTTCAAAGAGGAACCTACTGGGGTGAGCTGTGATGCTGAAGCCATCAGGTGGATGCTCCATGGAAGTTGCATTGACCCTCTCATTGCAGGATGCTGTTAGGGAAAGCGTCCTCCCCCAGGCAGGTATAATGAGTTAATGTGAAAATGTGAAGTCCTTGAAAGTGGGAGTTGTATTTGAAGTCATGGGTGCTGGGGAGTTGTCAGGGTCACACCTGGTGAGAGGGAACATGCCAAGACCAACACAGTAACTGTCCAAGAGGCTAATGGAGAGGAGAAGAAAGTGTATTTAAAGAGGCAAAAGCCAAGTGCTGTTTGAAGCAAGACACTAAACTACAAGTCTAGACAAGAATATTCATCTCTATTGAGAACCAATCAGTGTAAATTGCAGCACAATTGAAATCTCAGTCTCAGTGAAAGAGAAGATGTTCATTTTGTTGGAAATGGAATATTTCTGTGTGTATCCAACTAGTGCTTAAAACTGGAACAAGTGAGGCAAACCTTCACAACTCTGGATATGTCTAAGCCAGGATACTGCATTCACTCACTTCTTTTGATCTGACATAATGTTAAAAACCCAGCAAAACATATGACACAGTTTTTCAAACAGTTATATTTTTTAACAGGAGAGAATAGTTGTGTTTCATATTTTTCTTCTACTTTGCACTTAGAAAGATTCTTCTCCGGATCTGGTCTTCTTTATATTTCAACTTTTCCATCTGTTAAATGGCAGAGAAATTACTTATTATTTATGTTAAGAGGCAATGAGTGGATCTGCTAAATAGTTTGAAAATCAACAGTACCATGGATTTGATTTTTAGGCACAATAAGTGGCTCTGATGCCAAATGGCTTTAATAGAACCAGCAGACATTGAACACTAAACGTACAGGTCTTAAAGTGGTTTTTTCCCCTGGGTTAATATCTGTAGATGAAAAGCAGATAATTTTAATTTTATAATTTCAAGTTTCTTCCCATAACTTTTAGCCATAAGGCAATTTTCAAATGTCTCATCTGAGTTACAGGCACATGGATCAAGACCCAGTCTCCATCCCAAGCATTAGCATTTGTTCCTGCACTTTAATCCTGGGCTTTTGGCTTTTTACTAGTGATCTCACAGGCATCATATTTCCATTCATAATTAATAAGCAAATATTTCATTCAGTGTTGTCAGAGGGTAGTATTAACATATTGTACATCATGAGTTTAAATCAAAATAGACAAAAACTAATCCTTGCTATTATCTTAGGAGATTTTGCAGACGTCAAACAGGCTGGAAGATACCTGAACATTATTTTTATGGAAAAGATGAAAGTGTTTCACAGCATATTGATCTGTGCCTGACCATGAATGATTAATATCCTTTAGGTCCAGCTTCAGACTTTTTTAGATAACAGCCAAGAAGCAACCTATGATCTCATATGTCATATCTATTGATAGATCAAGAGATAGCTATATCTATATCTATATTATATATAGATATAGTTGCCTTTATCATATGTCACATCCTGCATTATAAATCAAGGTTTGGCAAAAAAGAAGGTACAGAGATGCCAGATTTCTAATGTATTTTTTTAGTATTTATTAATTCTTATTTTTATTTTTGACTGAGATTCACTTGACATATCATTTCCTTAATTTTCCTCTGTATTGAAAAATTGTCAATTCTACTGAGATGTATTATAGAAAGAATGCCAACTCCCCATTACTGTGCTTGAAAGAGGCCCTTATTAAGGGATTAAGTTTTTAAAATCTTCTTTGCCTTCTAATATAATTAAAACAAGTAAAAAGAAAAACTTGAAGTTGACTAGGAAGTTGAAATGGGGAAAATGGGGACAAAGGATGAGTAATTCTTGCAAAACAAGGACTTGCCTTTGTATCTTAACTGAGCATTGAAGACTTCATGTTTCTGCTGAGAAGGAAAAGTCAGTATATCTCAAACAGCCACACTTAAAATTGATAAATTAAGGAATGTAAGTTGCTACATTAATCATCCTTTCTCAAAATTTTCATAGAACTAAGTATTTATTTCATCATAGAGTTCATATTGTTCAAGGATATCCAAAGGTATCTTCCCTTTTCCCTATGCTATCATTTCTGACAAATGAACCTCATTATCTCAACAGAATAATTCTGCTTTCATTGCCATGCACTGTAGATTGCTTTTAATGCCTAGATTATGTTTCCAGTCTAATACCTAGAAAAATAAGAACCATTTTGAGAAGCTTTCAAAATAAGTCTTATGACCAAGTCAGACTGCAAAGAATGTGTTGGGTTTTTTTTAAGGAATGACACTTAACAACTGAATAATATTGGAGCTGCCCAAGTCTTGCGCACAATTATACATCCTGCTTTATATTGGTGCTGGAAAAACATTAAGTAAAAATTACTGTAAATATGTAATCTGAGTAATTTGATATGTTAGACTGAAACATTGCCTGACTGTCACATCCTTTGTGAAGCTGTCACTTTTCTGGAGTACTTATATTTCCATTGCAGTAATCCACTGTGAACCAGTAACAAAAGACAGGTAAATATGGAAATTATAATGCCTGAGGAAAACCTACTCAGTACAATGAGAACCAGCTCAGACAAGAGGAATTCGATTCTCTTCCTCTCCTTCAGAAACACATTCAGTTTGGCCTCATGACAGAAAAATTGGTTTGCCTGGATGTAAGAAGGTCTGGGACAATTGCATGGCTCATATTCCAAAGGTAAAACCACTGCCTGCTTTTTCTGGTGCTGAAAACTGAGTCTTTACCCACCAAAATGCTTCAAGGCTGGCAGGCTTGCTGGAATCTTTGGGAGACAGGAAGTTGATCTTATTTGTGGTAATATCATTCGTGTTCACTGTACCTACAATCTCAAATGGGAATTAATCCCTTCTCTTGTGATTGTGTGTCATGCATTGGGATAAACCTGGTGTGAAGTGAGGCAGCTGACAGCTCAATGACAGTATCACAAATAGGGCTGTGGATACATCCAGCTTAAACTGCTGGGAGTTTTTAATCAGAGAAGCCTGAATTAAATTCTTGAGAAAATGAAATTAAATTTATTCCCCACCACCACTGATCAGTTTAAGAACAAGACAAGGCATGAATTATTTGTATTTTCTTCCAGGGCTTTTTGTCAAATCAAACAGTTAAACCTGGGCTCTGCCTATCTGTCTATCTGTTTATTCATCCAGCTGTCTGTCTATCTATATGAGTTCTTGGCCTGTTTCATAAAGCAACAAGGTTGCCATTTCTTGGACAAAGGCACACAATAATTCATGAGCCCTAGTTTTTCAAGTAAGAGGTTTCTCCTAGAGACCATTATATGAGACGAAACCCAGCCACAAACTTCACAACGTGAAGTAAACAGACTTTTCACAGAAGTGACTGTTTTGTCCTCGTTGGGACAAAAAATCCACTGGGATTATATAATTTCATAGCTCAGAAATTAATGTGCCACATTTCATTAGGGTCTGTGGCTGTTTCACTGCAGAATATTTTGTCTTCTTCATTACATCTGCAACACTGCATTTAGAAGTCCAAAATGGACCACTCTGGGATATGGCTACAGTACAATATCATCTGACAAACTGCATAATAAATGCCATGAAGAAGGGACGTATAGCCTGCCCCTAAATAGCCTTTCACCACATGCCAACAAAACTATCTGCATCTGCCTGATTATAGGAACTTGTAATGATTTTCTTGTCATGTAGCTTTTCCTTCACTGAGCTGAACCATGACTGCTTGAATGTTGTTGAATTGTTCTCATGTTAGCAGCCAAAGCTGTTGACTTCCCTGGCCTCTGAATACCACTAACTGTACACACTACATGCTTTCAGTGGATTCCAAAAACTGCATGGAAAGAGACATCATTCTCATTGGCTATAAATGCAGGAAAAACCCTCCTGTTTTAGCTTGCAGGAGTAAGCTAAAATTTTACTCATCTGAATGCACATACCCAGGGTATTCTCATGTAAAGGAACACAGCATATGGATGGGACAAAAACCTACTGAGTGGGAAGAGGAGTGTACAATGGATGCAAAGAAACTCTGGAAGTTAATCTCAACTGTAATATTTCAGTAATTATCTCACAGGAACACTGCAGAGAGCTGGCAGCTTTTTGTAAAGGTTTTGTGTAGGCTTTCCTTACCAAGTATGAAGAAATAGTGTTCAGAAAGATTTGCTATAATTTTTAATAGCTTATTAAAGATTATTAATGTTAATTTATTCAGGTTTTCATAATGTTCTCTATCATAAAATATGCACAGTAAGGACCCTGTAAGTGCTTTTGGTCAGTATGTCATTTCAGAAAGGAATTTTCTGAGGTTGTGCCAACTGACTTCACTGCAGCCACACTGAAATAATTATTCAAATATCTCCACTGGAAACCTTTCCTTTGGCATTTTATCATTGATTTTATTTTGATTCATCAACTTGGAGTATGTCATGGTGATACTTCAGTATTTAGACACCAAGGCTCTGCATCACTCATGTAATTTCTGACAAACATGGGGCTTCTCCCAGACTCGTGAATCTTTATTAAGGTTTGCTATATACTTCAGACTCCTCAGAAAACAAAAAAAGCTGTTGTTTTTAATAATTCCCTATCATACAGTCCAACTCTTTGAAAAATCACCTGCTGTTGGTCTCCATATGGCAACAACCCACTAACTGAAGACTTACATGTGTTATCCACCTTTATTTAAAATCAAAACTCTCTTTCTTGCTGTAATATAGGTAATTATATTATCTGTATATTCCATTTTAAGGAAACAGCTTTTCCAACAGAAATGGCTCTTCCTAAGTGTTTCTTTCCCAGGACTAATATTATTCCTTTCCCCCCCACCACCTTTATTTCTTCTTTTCTTTTATTAGTAAACTGCCAAATGAGTCCGAAGTTGAAAAATGCAACTAATTCATCCTTACCTCATGCCCTGAGAGAATTTATTTCTGCAAAGGGATCTTTCCCAGTCAATGTCTTCTCTATTGTCTGAGCAATGCTCCTTTTTACCTTGCTGACAGGTTTGAGAATCTTGTCTGAAAAAGATATGATAAAATAATGATATTTTAGTAATATTGTGTAAGGAGAGAAAGCATATTTGACTTTCCTGTCTATACATCAAAGTGATTCCCGCCCCCCACGCCCCCAACAAAGTAAGCAAGAACTGAACCCAAGGTCCCAGAACCCTCCTACTTCCTGGAGGGAGCTAATGAGGGCATTTGTGCCTTCTTTCTTTCTTCCCTCCATTGTTTTCTCTGCAGTACGTCCTCCTCTGTGAAGAAGTTATTTTTGCTTGACATGCCCTTTATAAATATTCCTTGAGGACTAAAATTGTCTGGTAGTTTAGACAGCTTTTTCCTGTTGTGATATTTAACCTTCTTACTTGCCTAACTTGGTGGCAAAGCTGTTATTTTCAGCTTATTGGACAAGCTTTTGGGTCTCTCTTCTTTTGCCCTTTTCTTTCTTTTTTTTTTTCCTACAGAGCCGTGTTGCAGCCTTCAGAATTAATTAAAATCCTTTCCAGTTCAGCCAAATTTCTTTATAGAGCTTTTATTTATCTTCTAATAACTTTGTTTACAAAAACTGATCTACCCTGACAATTCCCCAGGTTTATTTTTTTACGACAAAGGACATTTTAAAGTGCATTCTGAGAAAAGTGTTGAAATGGTTCTCCATTTTTAATAAGTATCTGAATTTAAATTGTGCAACTGCAATTCTACTTCTTTTAAAAAGGGTGTCGTTTGGCACAGAAAGTGAATAATGTAATTCAAAATGAGAAATTATGGAATAAGACTGGACATTTTCTGTTAAATGAAGGACAGGCAAGCCATTTATCAATTTGAATTGCTTTAAAGGTACATGCTTCCTGATGCTAACCTACTAAATTTGTTGTCTCTCTTCAAACTCCTCACGCTGGGACTTCACACCTGTCAGTAGTTGCTGGACTGCAGCACTTAGAACTTCTGATCTCATGGCAGACTGGATTCCCTGCACTGGAAGTTGTATGTACAGTTGGGATGGGAGAGGAGTCTTTTAGGGAAAGGAACGTTTTCATTATTATTATTTCTTTTTAAATCCAGAATAGTCTGGGGAACATGCCTGAACTCGTGTTTGTGGACTTAGTGATTTTCTTTCTGTTTGACCAAACATCCACGTGTAAAACAAATGTGTGTCAGTTTACAGACCATAAGACAAGTAAAGTGCTAAAGATGCTGAGTGAATGTCAGTTATTTTTTAGAGGAGTGAATGTAAAGTTTTATCTGAGTGCAGGGATTCAAAATTTTGATGATCTATGAAAGTCTTGGCCCAGAATTTTAAAAACTATGCCACTTTAGAAATATACATAACAAACTTCCAGGGCATGCTTATCTTTAGCCTCAGTGTTTCACAGTGCAGGTAGCCGGGTCAGATTAAAGCACAGATACAGGTCTTGTACCAACCCTCCTCTAGTTCCCCCAAACATGGCCTTTCCATTGAAGGGAGAATTTGCTGCAACGTGGGCAAGTTAAGTCAAGCATGAAGATTTGCCCAAGGATCATGCAAGTTCTGAGCATGGATTGACGCTACTCACATTGATTCAAACAAGTAGGGAGAAAAGGCACATGGGTGTAACCGTGCTGAGCGCAACAGGAGTATGAAAAAATATCTCAGTTCAGAACAAAGCTTCCTATTTTGAGTGTGTTTGTGTGTGTGTTTTTTTGCAAACCCCAATTGTTCTTGTAAAACAAAGGAAAAACTCTACTGTCTGTAGAGTTGTCAGGACTTTAAAAAATATATTTCAAATCTATGGAAAAAAAAGTAATTTCATTGTGTTCTATTTCTTGAGATAATGCAATGTAATAGCTGTAACAGTGCCGGTTTCATTTTGATATATGCTTTCTTAAAAATGTGCCCATCACCCTAAGTAGCAATATTTGCATTAAATGATCCATAGTTAAGACTGTAATGTTTAACATGATATCATAAGAAGTTGTACCAGAAGGTAAAATACAGTAAAATAATATTGGTTCTTTTAACAAATCAATTTAGACAAAACTTGTAGAAACATAAAACTGCTAACTTTATGTTTATGCAATATACTTACTTTAGCAACCAAAATATAGATACATATGAGATGGAACAAAAAAAAAAAAAAATGTTACTCCTCTTTTTATTACTGCTCATGTTATCAGTCAGTGCTATCTGACATTGAAGATGGATGGTGAATAAAGTCCAGACAACAATCTCTGCAAACTGGGACTAGAAAACTCATATTAAAAAGAAAAAAAAAGAAAGACAAAAGAAAGAAAAAATGAAAAATTAATCTTCTTTGGGTAGCAAATATATTTTTTATGGAGAAGTTATTTTCACAAAAAAGTTTTCACCAACTGGACAAGAGGAAGAATATGAATGTCCATAGTCTGGCCATATCTTTTGAATTCATTGGATTTTATAAGTACAGGGTCGAATTTCAAATTATATAAATTAAAAAAAGAACAATTTTCAAAATTTTATCTTCTTTTCTCTTTCATATCTGGACTCCAGTTCCTCTTCCATCTGCAATGGATTGATACCAAGTTTTTATTCTCATGGAAAGGAGTGTCTTGATTTTCTTGCTATTATTAGCTATTATTTCTAAGCAGAGAAGATTCAGGGCTTGCTTGGGAGGGGCATTTTCATCTTGAAACCCAAGTTATTTAAAAGGTGTAAAAATCTTCCCCCACCCCTCCACCCCAGTTCTCCACATTTTGCTATGAAAGACTAGCAAGAAAAAATAATTATATGTTTAAAAAGCCTGTCAAATCCCACAGTCTTTCACTGGTGATTGACCCTCCAGCAGGAGCAATCTGTGATGGATGAGGTGTAGGGTGAATCACACAGAAACTGCATTAAATTTTCCTTGCCAGTTTTCGAAATTACTTATCAAAAGGCCAGGCAGGGACAGCAGATATAGAGCAAAGTATTTTGTATATATATGTGTGTGTGTAGATGGTATATACAGATGCAATACATGGTAATTGAAGAGTTTCCAATTTGCATAGCAACTTTTCTGCATAAATTGTTCTGCACATGAGTTATGTTTGTTTGGGCTTTTTTTCTTGACAGCCAAACTACTAAATGAAGACTGCCTTGGAGTTACTGAAGCCTACTGAAAGTGGGATATCTGAAATGGCACAGCACAGCACAGCAGTGCCCATGAAATGCAGACAGGCTTCTCAAAATTGCAGTAGTAAATGGACTACTCTAATTACTATTGTCAAAGCTTGCTAGTCTTTACTTAGGCTGAGCAGAACCATTTTCTGTGAAGAGTCACACTGAATTCACACAGGAACTTCTCCAGAATGATATGACAGGAAAACTGACAAGAAAGTTAACTGAGAATTTTGACTACTATATAGTAAAGCAGAATGCAGTAAGCTCGGACATCTCTCTGTGGTGCACAAGGTGTGTAAAGGTATACTGAGGGTATAATTAAAAACTACACCACATACAACTCAAAACAGGGTAAGAAAAACTGCCTTTTGAGGTTTTTACAGTGTGAGTGAATAAAGACAAAAATAATGGAAGTCTGCTTTAGCTGTGAGAGAGTCTGACAGATATCAAGGAGCCTGTATGAGGGACGAGTCCTGGGAGTCCTCTCAGCAAGAGAGGGAATTGCTGTTAGATCTTAGATCTGTAATATTTTCCTTGTATTTTTGCCTTGAGAACAGGAGAGTCAGCCAGACTCCTGTGGAAGAATCTTAATGGAGAAAGAAAACAAACTCATTTTCAAACCCCAGCCTAATTTGTGGAGGTGGAAGTCAAAACAAAGAGTTGTCCTATACTTCTGAGTTTTACACAAAGCAGGTTTGACCTGCCACTACTAGGGAGGAATAAATAAATCAACCCATGAGATTAGCCTCTGAGGCATTTTTGTGACCTGATCTTTTCCTGAAAAGCAGCTAATCCTCCACTCTGGAATGAATTTCTTTCTGTAGCAGAACAGATGGAAATATCAGCTCTAGTTGTGCTATCTAAAGAGCATTTTTGTCTCCATTTCCAGTAATATGATAATACTTCAACATCTTTTGTATTAAAGCCTAATTGTTAAGGAAAAATATTTAAACATTTTTAGTAATTGACATTTTTGAATTTGCCAAGACAACAGAAGACTTTCCTAAGCTATTTTGTTCCTACACTTGGTATGTACCCATGAAGTCAATAGAGCAATATTGAAGCTTTTCCAAGCACAAATATGCTTCAAAACATTTCCAGAAAGTGAAAGAATTGAAACAAAGGAACATAAATATGGGAAAAGTGGACTGATGAGAAGTATAAAAGTTGCCATTAGCTTTAGATTTCGCTTCACTGTTAATAACATACCTCAAGATATTGAATTAACCCAGAAGTCAAGTTACTACAAATTCATGTTTACTAAAAATTTGTTGTACAGTGGTTCTGTACAACAAATCCCACCTTATTCAACAACTGTCCAGTTTCTCTATATTTTTGGTCCAGTCAGAACTTCTGGGAAACTATCGAGAGGACAATGAGGTGAAGGAAAAGAGTCATACTGGCTACTGAGATTCAGAAAAGTAAGAGCTTTTATTAGCTCATAGGGATTAAAAGTATACTTGCATATAGCTCCTTATAATTGCCAGTGTAGTAGTATGGCAGAAAGAAGAAAATATTTATAGGTCCCAAGGGCTGAAACTTTTTTATTAGCTTCTTGGAAAGATATCTTTGGTGACTGGAACAGCTGCTCTGGCCATCTGAAGGGCTGTGCTGTGCTTAATGCCAAATAACACCTGAATGACATCGGCGAGGTAAAATCAATTTGCTTGTTTCCTGTTGTCACTGTCCTCCCTTCCTTCTTCAGAGTCAAATGCCACTGCCTTGCAGAGGAACTAGAGGAAAGCTTTTAGTTTTCATTGTCTTTGTGAGCCTGAACATTACTCCCTGCAACACACTAATCTCCAGTATTGGAAAAGAGCAGGAAACTGTGAGTTTAACAAAACCCATCAACCTTAAACTACTTTGCATCAAAAAAATCTGAATTTGGGACTTGTCCTTGATT